GTAGAAAAGTGGATTGCACAAATCAGTTTTTTCCTAAATATTGACAAAACTGTCACAATGGTCTTTGGAAAAATTGAAAAATTCACAGCTCTGCATCAAAGCAAAATCAAATAGTACACTGATCACAGTTCACTCTTTCAAATATCTAGGTATGTTGCTGGACCCCAATCTATCTTTTCGCCTCCACATGGAAAAACTTGCCATGCCCTGTACAGAAGCAAATCCTATCTAGGCACCGCGGTAAGAAGCAGATTGTGCAACAAATGCTAATGCCGGTCTTTTAATATGGAGATGTAGCACGTGCACCTGAACCACAAACCCACATTCATAAACTTACTGTGTTGTATAACACGTGCTCTCGCTTTGTGCTACAATGTAGTTACATGATTGTGAAAGTGCTAAACTGATTATTGCTGGAATCCAGATGCAAGCAAAAATGTGGTCATATGGTGTGGCCAATACTTTCTACATGAGACCAATTATTTTAAACAGGCATGAGCCCATGTGATGGAGAACACACCGTACCCGATGCCCCTGTCCTCCCTTTTATTGTGTGCATATTCTGCAAGCTCGTAGAGGGAATATTGGAAACCACAAGCTAATTATGATGGCAGACATCAAAACAGAAAAGAAAGCTAGAGAATTTGAGAGAGAATTTGGTTATCTAACAGGGAATGTTTCCCTTATTAGATCTTGGACTTACTTCCATTTTGAGCAGCATGGGTGGTCTGTAAGGGGACTGCACTGTATGATGATATTCACCCTGCCCAGGGGTAATAGATAGAGTGTATCAGTTGATTGATATTTAGGAGGGGTTTCCCTTCACAATGAGCCATCTCGCTACACTGTAATATGAGGCACGATCCTATGATACTTCTCCCCAATAGGACGAATAGTTACAGTCCAGCAGGGTTTTCAAGTTGCAGTCTTTTACCCACAGGGATTATAGCCTGGCAGAGTTATTAAATATGAGCTCGGCATCCACAGTGATCTGGGGTGTATTAGGTTGCTATACACCCCATTGATATATGTTGAAGACGAGAGTTCTATAATCAGCCTTTACTCCTATCAGTCTGAACCATGGCAATTAGTGTTCAGGATGATTTTCCCTGGACATTATTAGGCTTTGTGATTTATCTATTGGAGGAATAAACCCTGCACAAGAGTCAAGGTCTTATGGTTCTATGTCTGCCTACATTTTTTATTATTATATTTTTTTTTTTTCATTTTTGGGTTTATATTTTAGGCATTAGTATACTTTTTATCTACTTATATTAAAAGTTAAGTTTTAACTTGTACAGGTACTAATTAGGGACCACCTGCAGGTTTTAGACCTTTGAAGTAAAAAGAGAAAAATAGATAATATAAAAATATTGAAATACCTAGATGGGAAAACTACTTAATAGGATACAGTATAAAACAGTGATTAAGAATATATAAAAAAATATATATAAACTAGGGTAAATAAGAAAATGACAATACATATTCTAGTTCAACTTCTTGAATAGTCAAGAAAGTTCTGCAAAAGTCCCTTAAAAGTCCAAAATATAGAAAATCAGGATTTGGTGATATTGCCACCTATAACATTGCAACATCTAAGCAGCCAAGGGGTGCTGGGGATGCTGTGCCCAAATCTGTTTGCTGAAATAATATTGTACTCAAAATGTAATTGTACAGGTAAGTACAAACAACTTGTGATCTAGTCAATTACAGAAATTGACCATGTGTAATAATTTAAATATCCACTAGGTGTCCTTAGCGTACCTTCAAGTTACATTGAATGGATGGATACATTTTAAAGAATTGATCAAATGTAGTAATAAACATATCACAGGTTATTTGTACTTACCTGTACAATTGCATTTTAAGTGCAATATTATTTCAACAAAAAGGTGTGTGCTCTGCATCCATTTACCCGTTGGCTGCTTAGATGTTGAAACCTTATAGGCCGCAAGAGCACCAAATCCTGATTTTCTATATTTTGAACTTTTAAGGGACTTTTGTGACTTTATGATTATTATAGAAGTTGGACTAGAATACGTATTGTCATTTTCTTATTTACCCTAGTTCATTTTTTACATGTATTCATGTTTAGTGTTTTATACTGTATCCCATTCAGAAGTTTTACCATCTAGGTATTTTACTATTTGTGTCATCTGTTTTTACCTTTCTATCACATATTGCATCAGAGTATTTTTTTTCTTCTTTCTCTCTCCCTGCTCTTTCTCGCATATTATATTATTACAGTTATTTTATATCCTAAATAGTAGCTCCTGGACCCCCACTATATGTATTGAAGATTTATTTGAAATTTTATGAAAATAAGTGCTGGTGAAAGAGGTAAAACATTCTTGTTTGTCAAGGGAGAATATACCACAAAATAGATTTTGCAAGATCTTGGGTTCTGGGACTAGTAACCTATATTCCATCACAAGTGGACCGGGCAACATTTTATCAAAAACGGATCTTTGCCATGCTTGAAATAAATGAAGCTATTAATTGTCTCATTTGCATATGCCCACCCAGAATCCCTAGAGCGATACATAAAAGAAAACACAAGTTATAGATACTCATTTTGTTGTCTTGAAAAAAATCTTATGCATATTTTCCTGTGAACATTTCCCTGTGGAAACTGTGCAAAATATCCTAGTATTCTGCATTTCCAACATTTCTCAACTCTTCCTTGAAACAGGTTAATACACAGATGCATTTATTTTACCTTACTACACATCTATGACCATTCCAAATCTCGCTACTAAATAAATTCTCATTTAAAACAGATTTTGATTGACAGATGATTTGAAAATATGTGGATTGTATTGCTTAGCAGGAAGTTGTTGAGTCAATTATGAGATTAAGTAATCCTTATTAATAATGTATTATTAATATCTAATGTTCCAAGCACCCAGGACAATTGAAGATATCACAATCTAATCCAAAAACAGCGGAAAGATTTATGTCACTTTTCTAATCCTTACCTGGATTAATAATCCCGGAAATTGGGGCTGTGCAGATATCATTATATTCACTGTGAACCCTTTCTATGTAGTCTATTAACTATTAATATTTCTAACACTGTTTAGCACAAATAAGTGTCTTTGGGTATGGCAATTTAAAGCATTGCATGGTGGAGTCCTTCCAAGCTATGTCCTATATTAGTAAGTAGAGTTAAGCGAACCCGAACTGAAAAGTTCGGGTACCGAACATTAGGTTTTTTTGGACCCCGGACCTGAACACTGACATATCACTGTATGTTCAGGTTGGAGTTCGGTGTTCAGCGATTTAATGGCGCGTTTGGAAAAGCTGCAGGGCGCCAATCAACAAGCGTTTGACTCCTGTGCGCTTAGAATCCATAACAGCCATGTCTACTAATGGCATGGCTGTGATTGGCCAGTGCAGCATGTGACCCAGCCTCTATATATAAGCTGGAGTCGCGTAGCGCCGCACGCAAATGCGGTCTTATTAATGTAGGGAGAGGATGCTGACGCTGATAGGGACAGCTTAGGAAAGAATTCTGCAAACTAGTACATTAGTGGGGTGGGGTGCACTTCATATCTGAGAGTCAAATAGAAGCTTCAAATACCGCGGTTACATCGGAGTTATAAAAAGTAAAATTTGTTTGGTGCGAAATAGTACATTAGTGGGGTAGTACATTAGTGGGGTGCACTTCATATCTGAGAATCAAATAGAATCGTCAAATACTGCTGTCACATTGCAGTTTTAAAATTTAAAATTTTTGGGTGCTAAAAAGTACATTAGTGGGGTGCACTTCATATCTGAGAGTCAAATAGAAGCGTCAAATAGTGTGCTTACTGCACAGTGGTAAACATTCTTATTTTCTGGGTGCTAATCTGCTAAATTGTTTTGCTGCTAATCTGCTGCTTACATTGGAGTTTTAAAAAGTCAATTTATTTTTTTGGGCGCTAAATAGTATATTTGGGGTGTTCACTTCATATCTGAGAGTCAAATCGAAGCGTAACTTTGATTCGAATTTACTACATCGGTCACTTGTAATATTGTTTCACACCTACAACACTTGTAACACAGATCTAATGGATAGAAAACAGATTGATATTTTCTACACTAGAAACCACCAGATAACAAGATGCTATATTTAAACCAGTGATCAATAGCTAAGAGGTACTTCAACAATATTGTAATTCTGGGGCAATAACCACACAAGTCAAACTGAGAGGTCAGTTTATAGGGAAAACTGTTTCCTGGAGGAAATTCTAAAACAATTTCCATATGTCCTTTGCAGACTTTACATGCTGGAAAAACACAGGTGCCAACTGCTGTGGCCTTCTGCAGTATGCATGCCGGCAAGGAGGGTAGGGTTGAGGAGTGGGTGGAAGATGATGTGGAGGATGATAAGGTCCTAGAACCCATGTAGAAACAAGGTCATGCGAGTGACGTGTGCAGTTTGGAGGAAGAGGAGCTGGTCGCACAGAGGCACCAGCACAGCATAAAAGGGAGCAGGGTGCAAAAGCGGAGCGGCCGTCCCCTAGCACTCGTCGGCATGTATTAGCGCGAATATTACCAGTTATCCAAGTGATCCATTCATAGTTTCACAGTGAGGTGGGCAGTCCGGTGACCAGAACCCAGACACTGTCTGGGCGGCAGTCGGATGACAGGGACCCAGTATGCCTGATGTTGAAGTTAGGAGTCACAGTGTGGAATGGATTAGCATGGTCTGTTGCAGGGTAACCGCACGTCCCCTGGTGTTGAGCACCAGCGTTTGTGCGGCCACATACCAGGACCCTGATGCAGCTTCAGTAAAAAGAGTACTGGATACCAGAACCCATCACCCGACTGATCTGCAACTTGGAACAGGATGTGACATTCACTGTAGCAGCTGTGCTCGCTTTTGGCGTTGTCACCCTGCCGCTGCTCGCCTGTCTGCGCTGCAGCGTAACTTCGACCTTCCTGCTCACCGCCTCATGAGACTGTGCGAGCAGCAGCAGGTGACAGTGGAGTTTCAGCTGCAGCACGTATGAGTCAGTGGCGCTGCACCAGACTTCCCTCCAGTTGATCAGAGTTAAAGGATTTCAAGTGGACCCATTACAATTACAGGGCCTCTAAAACCCTGTATTGTTATTTGTCGTCACTACCTTCCCGTGTCGGGAGTGGGTAATTTGCGCGCCTGCTACCTTGCTTGCATGTGGTAGCCGTTTCTGAGGTTCCCTGTACGGAATGGAACCCTGATTCCATGTTACCCGTTGTCACCATGGTAGGCGCAGAAACTGCCATCGAAAGTTGATATGGATGACATCCGCATGCAAAGTCGTCGCCACGGGGATGTGCGATTTGCCCGAGGTTCTCTAGAGTCAACAAAGTTTCTGCGCAACTATAATGTCAACAGCTACTCTGCGGAACAGCGTTGTCTTTTTTTATATGTTCCAATATTTGGGGGCTACTCCAATTAAAATATAAATATATATATATATATATATATATATATATATACATATATATATAAACAGTGTTGGCTGCCTCATCCTCCTCCTCCACCGCTGCTTCCTCCTCCACCGCCATGGTCACTGCCTCCTCAACCTATGGGTCACTTAGTATAAACTAGGTACACATTAGCAGAGGCTTGTGAAGGCCTTTTCTCCATGCATCAGGAGTTGAGCATTTCTCCATGCATCAGGACTGCAAGAAATGCACTGCAGGCCACAAATGTTTCTTTATTTGTATGTCCCAATATTTTGTGGGCTGCCACAATTAAGAAACAAAACATAAAATACAGTGTTGGCTACCTCATCATCCTCCTCCACCGCTGCTTCCTCCTCCACCGCCACGGTCACCGCTTCCTCAACCTATGGGTCACTTAGTATAAACTAGGTACACATTAGCAGAGGCTTGTGAAGGCCTTTTCTCCATGCATCAGGAGTTGAGCATTTCTCCATGCATCAGGACTGCAAGAAATGCACCACAGGCCGCAAATGTTTCTTTTGTTGTATGTCCCAACATTTTGTGGGCTACCACAATTACAAAAAAAAAAACAACATAAAAAACAGTGTGTGTTACCTCATCCTCATCCTCCACCGCTGCTTCCTCCTCCACCGCCACGGTCACCGCCTCCTTAACCTATTGGTCCCTTAGTATAAACTAGTTACACATTAGCAGAGGCTTGTGAAGGCCTTTTCTCCATGCATCAAGTGTTGAGCATTTCTTCATGCATCAGGACTGCAAGAAATGCACCGCAGGCCGCAATTGTTTCTTTATTTGTATGTCCCAATATTTTGTGCACTATCACAATTAAAAAAACAACAACAAAAAAACATAAAAAAACAGTGTTGGCTACCTCCTCCTCCACCACTGATTCTACCTACACCGCCACGGTCACCGCCTCCTCAACCTATGGGTTACTTAGTATAAACTATGTACACAATAGCAGAGGCTTGTGAAGGCCTTTTCTCCATGCATCAGGAGTTGAGCTCTGTTTGAACAATGAAAGAGAATACCCTGCACTCCAACCCTCTCTCAAATGGATAATTCTGTTGATCCTTCTGGCAGCCATGCTTTAGATTTTGATTTATGTTCTTCCAAAGTTAAAATCAAACTTCCATCTAGTGCTATTTTATGGCTCAGCTGTATTTTTAATTTTTATGTTATATAAGTGATTTCCCTATCCACATTTGTTTGCAGGGCACTTGTCCTACTCTTACTCCCATTTTACTTCCTTTTGCAGCTCTCTAGCCCTTCCCAGGTGTTTTTAAGAGGCATTTTTGTGGCCAAAAGTTCGGGTCCCCATTGACTTCAATGGGGTTCGGGTTCAGGGTCAAGTTCAAGCTGGAACCTGGACATTTTTTCAAAGTTCGGCCGAACCCGAACATCCAGGTGTCCACTCAACTCTATTAGTAAGTCATCTTTTCTAGCCTGAGTTAATACAAGTCAGTTTACATTAGACTTGGTGATGTGTTTTATTTTGAACTGCATTTCATCCGAATTTGGGCCGATCTGGTGATCATACCAATCTCCGAACTCAGAGCTAAAAATTTGGGGAACTATGTTCATTTTGATTCATGAGTCAGAATTCCACCTGTTGTGCCAAAAAACAAGATGATTAATGTGAAAATAAAGACGACTGAGGGGTAGGAGACAACTACTAAATATGACGAATATTCAGATTAAAGGACCACTGGCACTATAGGGTCTTTAGGTCCCCCTGCCCTCAAGGTCTCAATCTAGCATGGCTGAAGGGGGAGGAAGGGGTTAAACACTTACCTTTCTCCAGCGCTAGGCTCCCTCGGTGCTGGGGAACTCTCCTCCCTCTTCCGACGTCAGTGCTGAATGCGCATGCACGGCAAGAGTCGCACGCGCATTCAATCAGTCCATAGGAAAGCATTTCTCAATGCTTTCCTATGGACATCAGTGTCTTCTCACTGTGATTTTCATAGCGAGAAGCGCAGAAGCACCTCTAGCGGCTGTCAATGAGACAGCCACTAGAGGCTGGATTAACCCTATTGTAAACATAACCCTAGATGGACCTGGCACCCAGACCACTTCATTGAGCTGAAGTGGTCTGGGTGCCTATAGTGGTCCTTTAACTGAATTTTTATTTGTTTGTGTATAAAGACACACACACATATATATGTATTGTCTTTATGGGTGCACTGACATATTGTCATGGCATCATGAAAAGCCAGGGTGGTTTTATAGTATTAGAAATCTCCCTTCCCTAAGACCAACTACTTAGCTCGGGTATCTTTAGAAACAACTGGGATAGGTGAATGTTTAAGAGTTGACAAGGTTACACCTGAAGTATAACAAGTAAATTTTTTATACATACAAACTTTTTATAAGTTACAAACTGTAAAGTGAAAACCTGTCAATTAAAATTAGTTTAATCCCCCCAAAAATTAGTTTCAGCCAAAGTTTGTGCATGATGTAGTTAGGCTCATCAGTATTTTGTCCGCTGAAAAAGATTCAGGAAAATCAATCAGACAAACCAAAAGGGTACAAAAATGGGCCAATCAGTGTACTGTGTTTATGATATAAATATTATGTATATATTTTGCAGCGAGCTCATAAGCACATTTTCTGTACATTTGATGCACAGATCAAGTGAGAAAAAGTAACCGATAAGGGGAAAGATATTTATGTATATATAAAATATAGATTGTTTTACTCATTCTCCTTTTTTCCCTCTGTTGGTGACTTCTCACTTGATCTGTGAATAAAATAAAATGTTAGTGGCTATCCCTTAGACATCAATCATCTGTTTTTCCATCAATCATTTCTTTTTTCGGTGCTATGGGTGGAACTCGGAATCAAAACTCATACATTGCATGAGTTGCTTGTTATGTGAATAGTCTATGAGGTGGTTTGGAATTTGGAAATTCGGACGATTACTTGATCAGCCCAATTTCAAATGAATTCCAGTTCATAACAAATGAATCTCTAAGTCTTTCATTTATCATTGTTAAGGTTACTATTTAGATAACAATCTAGCAAAGTTATATTTTAAAAATATTACAAAACAAAACTCAACAAACTATCATGTTCTTTATAACTTAATTTGAGGGTTGATTGTATCTGGATCCAACTAACATCCTACAGGACTTCATACAGACCTGTGAGTTTGAGTTTAGGATTATAGACTGTAGCCCTTCCTACATTTATCAAGTAGTTGAAATTACTAATGGGGTTCTACTTGATAATACATTGCTGTATTTTCTCATCATTTCTTTAAGCACACACCTACCAAAGTTTAGTATTAAAGGGACACTTTGGACAACTTAACAACTTAATCAGAATGATTAATGATTATGTTATGGTGCTAGGAAGTCCCTAGATACTGGCTTACCTCAAGCGGTTAAACTGATAAAAACAATTTAACCCGAAGAGTTGAATCCAGCGCCCACTCGCTCCTACCACTAACATCTGCTATAGTCCAAGGCTTAAACTGAGAAGCCTCAGACAGGAGATCTGCTGAAAGGCTGAGAGCATTATCTGACACTATCAATAGCTCCTCATTCACAAAATGGTTTTGAAAAAGTGTTTCTTTGTTTAACACATTTTCCCAATGGTGTTGGGAGATTCCTGTTTTAAATCCAGGATGTTAGTGGTCAGAGTCATCAGATGTTGGATTCAACACTTCAAGATTAACGTTTTAACCTCTTGCACCTCCTTGCACCATAACAACTCCATTCTGATACAGTTGTCATGGTGGCCAGCTTGTTCCTTTAATATTATTTTACTGCAATCTATTTAATATGTTTTTGTTACAATTAGTACCATGTTATTGGTAATTGTTGTCATTAAGGTTCCATGATTACCTTAATTATAGAATCAGGACACACTCACAATAGATGTGTTACTTAGCTAATGCCTGGAAATTTTTGTGGAATCAAATAATTTATATCTTCTGTTCACACCATATGCTAAAATGACTTTATTTTCCAAAGAGACCAAGTTCTTAAAATCAATTTCTACCTAATCTTGTAATCTGGCACTGTGAGTACATAAGCATTTAATGAAATTTAGAATCAGATAACATTAAAATGAAAAACATAAATTAGCTATTGTGATATGGAGCCCTAAAAGAAGAATATGATCCAACCTCATCTCTTCATACAGAAGACCAAGCACAGATGCCACACCATGTCCTCTTTCCTCTGAGCTGGAAGCTCTAGCCATGAAGGCTGAGAGAGGTCCAACATAACATAAGGTACGGAACTGAATAAGGTATTCAGCATCAGACTTAGATCCTTGTTTAATTCTCATTAAGGCTTTAGCTGCATTTTTGGCCTTATTGGAAGTATGAAAGGTTCTGCGAAACGCAGTCAAGAAAGCCTGATAATTGTTAGCCAAAGGACCATTAGCTTCCCATATAGGATTAGCCCTCTCAAGTCCTTTATCTGTGAGCTGGTGCATGAGAAACCCCACTTTAGCTCTATCAGTAGGAAAAGATCGGGGTGACATCTCAAAGTGGAACTCTACTTAATTAATAAACCCTCTTCGTGTCATGGCATCACCTCCATACCTAGGAAGAAGGGTCAAATTAGACGAAACCTTGTTAGAGGCCTCTGGAATAGGGGATACTGATTGAGGCAGTACAGAGACCTGTGTCTCAGGGGTTAAACATGCAGTTTTGGCCATAACAGTCTGCAATGCCTGAGCAATTTGATCCATGTGATGGTCTTGCTCTTCAAACCACGCCTCATAAGAAACCAATTCTGTCCTAAATCTGCAGGGTCCATGGCCCTATTGTAATGTCATGGAGTAGTAACCCTAACATGCAGAGTTTAGGATAGCAAGGAAGGGACTAATGAAAAATAAACTTGTTACCGGGCCTTAGAGTGGCCGGACTTAACGTAGGCAAAATAAAGCATAGTCGAAATATGAGCCGAGGTCAGGGTAATGTAGATACAGCGAAAATGAGAACTAGCCAGACTCAGGTACACAGTAAATATCAGAAGGGCAAACAAGACAGGCAAGGGTTAAAGAGAGACTCAGAGTCAGGAAACAAAGCCAAGGTCAATACTAGAATACAATACAAAACACTAGGAATGCACTAAAGTGC